GCATTCCCGAAGTACGAGCATATGACGACCAATGTCGCACGCTTCCAGCACCAGGTATGTCTCGCGCTACACTCACAACCTCGTTCCCCAACTCACAGATGCCACTAGCACCCAAGGACCACCCTGCGCCTCACCCAGCTTACAGCAGCGCAGCTCGGCTATGGCTGCGTGCTCCTTCCCTGCTCGCCCGTGAGAGCGTAGGCGCCAGCCAGCAAATAGCGCAGCATGCAGCCAGCACCCGAATGCTGAATGAGGAGGCAGGCCCTTCCCTATATCGAAGTGGCCTGCCTGCGTCCAGTCCCAGGAAGCTTCCAGTAGGCCCCGGTAGCCTGAGGCCGAGCACGTCGAAAGCAGGCCTTGGGCCTGAGTTGGTTGTCTGTGCCCAACTGCCTGTGGCCAGTGTTTGGCCCGGTACCCGTATTCAGCCCAGGGCCTGTTTCACATTCATTCACACAGGTGGCCCAGGGCCTGGGTTCACTCAACCAACTGGCGCTGCGCAACTGCCTGAATTTCCCTGAGTTGCGTGGTGGCCAGAAAAGGGCCCTGAGGGCCTCGTCGAGCCTGCCTTCACTTAGGGCGGCCGACGGGCTGCAAAATTGGGGCCTTTTGAGGCTCTTAGAGGCGCTGGCCTCGCACCTTGCTGAGATTCCCGCATTCTGCTGAGTTTTCTAAGTTTGTGTGTGTGTGTGCTTGGTGATCTGCGTGCCTGTTTGAGTTGCTTGTCGGCCTGAGTGTGTGTGTGGCCCGCAAGGGTACTTGCTTGTTTGGGAGGCCCGTAGGGCCGGTACTTACCTGTGGCCGTGACATTGAGGGTTGCAAGGGGGGAAAACACTCAAGTGGTGGGAAAGAGCCCCGCGAGCAGCGGAAAAACACTCTCAAGTAGCAGGTAGGCCGGTACCACACCAAGTAGAAGTAGATGTGCCGAGTACTCGAGGCTGAGCAGAAGAAGACAAAAGTTGGCATTTTTAGAGGCCCAGTAGTTGCAGGCTAGATGTAGGCGGTTACCAGTCCACCCAGTCTGAGTGTAGGGCCTGTACGGGCAATATCAGAGTCTGCATGACGTTTCCCTCCGAAAGGGAGGAGGTACCGGTTGCTTGGAGGCTGCACGGCCTAGGAAGTCACCGCCCAAGAGGCAAGCAGGCCGCTATATCTCCAGGAGGGGAGAGTCCTTTTGAGCCAACTCTGTCGGCCCTAATTCTGGAATAACCTCGAAGTGAGGGGAGAGTCCCCATTTCGTCCGGGCGATTCAAGCCCCGCTCAAAATCCTCGGCCACACCCCCAACTACTCTGATAGGCGTCCCTCGGTACGGAACTTTGCGCGGGGTGTGAGGTTGTGCATCACAGGCCCTCTCGAGATACCTAGGCCCAGCTAGTTAGATTGTTGGGACGCAGACTGAGACGTAGGTAGGTCGTGACTGGCCACAGGAGGCTCGGATCCAAGCTTTGAGGAAGACAAAAGGGAGGAGGCCTGGCGGGAAGGCACATCGGGGCAGTGGTAGCATGGAGCAGCGCTAGAGCATTGCTTGCAACCAGCAACTGCCCCGGAAAATGTAGGCAGCTGAGCGGTAGCGGCCTGGACTGTGCCTTCAGTGTCCAATGTCTTTTGGATTTGGTGAGCCCTCGGTCTTGTCATTCTGCTTTCAACTTTGCTTCATTAGGATTGGTCTTCTATGAGCTTTAAATCTTGAACATTTGTGTTCTCATTGGATGGTTCCTTGCAACATGGTTCTCAGAACAGGAATACCTTTCCCATACTATAGATACGATAGGCCCATACTATAGATACTAGGATTCACAACATTTCTGTAAGGATCGGAGTGCAACAGACCGCTAAACAAAGCCTGTATTTGCGCGATACAGGTCTATGGTGGGATCTATTGAGAAGCTTCAAGGCGGCTGAAAAGGCTGATCAAATAATCCAAGAAGAGAATACAGGAAGTATATTATCAACCACAGGACAGCTCCACTGTGCAAACCAAACACTCGGCAGTACGTGCATGCTATCTTGGAAATCACCTATTCACCCCGAATTCAGTATCATGATACTATCATCATATAGGTTCTACCTTTGAAGACTACGGAGAATTGCTTGTGCGATGAATCGCCTAGGAACTCGCTTCAGTGAAGAGTGGTTCTACCTGTGGAAAGCCAAAAGAACCATTTGAGGTGAGCCGGCAGATGTTGTCAGTGTTGAGATTGAACAGGTGATCCCAACCTTACCGACCGCCTTCCTCTCCTCCTCCCGTCATCTTCTCTTTTCTGCGCGAAGCTGCAATGTGTCATCTAGTCTTCCTGAATGGTTCTCTTCCAGGGCTTTTGTATTGAAATGCCGCTTGGAGCAGAAGTCTCTTCTGGCCCCTCTTTTCCTCCACCCTTTGGGTGTGCTCTGGTTCTCTCCTCTGGCCTGAGTGCTTCCGTAAGGGCCTTCACAACCTCAACTGGCAGCTACCGTCTTCACCCAAAAATCATGCCCGGGTGGTGTATTCACTAAATTGGTGGCAACTTCTATAGAAAGATATGTTCACTATATGTTGTCTGGAATTGCAATGCAACCAACGTTTGGCTGAGGTTCACTTCAGAATTCCTCATAAATTCGGAAACAAAAAAAAAAAGAGAGAAAAAGTCAAACCAAAACATACGGTTACATAGTACATACCCCTTTGAAGTCAAAACCACTTTCAACTCCTTTTAAGACCCATGTATACCCCCCTTTCCCCGCCTTAAAACCCATGTATACTCCGCTGACAAGGCACTCCACCCATGGCACATCGAAATATAAGGCCCGGGCGTTCTATTCGAATATAATGCCCGAAGGGGCCCTGGCTGATTCGGCAGAGCCAGGCTTCTAAACTCAGCAACGCCATAAGCATGTGCTCAGGTTGTCAGGATGAGGACAAAGTGCTCAAATCATTCATACAGCTTAGCACCGGTCCGAATGTCGCATATTCTCATCCTACAGCTTTGTGCGTCTGTTAGTGATGTCGGTACTATGGTGTGTCTGCAGCAGAACTCTCAGGATTAAGGTATTATTGCTTAACACCCTCATTCCTGAGGGCCTCCACAATCAATTTGTCAAATCATCCGCTCCCAACAGAGTTTCCGAACCAGGGAGATAAAGCACCTCCCTTGCCCCTCCCCGGAACCTGCAACATGTTTTCGGGTATCAATGCCATTCTGAAGGAGTGTTCCAATTTTGCAGCTGATGTCTCTTGGGGTCTGTATTTTCAACCCATACTGCTGCCACCTTGTTCTGGCAACAACTCCTGTGTTGGAAATTTGTATGCACAAGGGCACTTACACTTTTTTTAACCGACTTCAGTGACTTGCAGGCCATCGGGTGTCAATGGCGTCAGAAGCATCTATCCTGGTTTATGGGGCTACTGGCTACACTGGTAATCTTGTTGCACAGAAGGTGAAGGAACTGGGGCTCAGTGCAACTCTTGCAGGTCGCAATGCAGAGAAAGTGAAGACAGTTGCGGACAAGGTTCAGCTGCCTTACGAGGTGCTTGATCTGAGCGATTCGGCAAAACTTGATGACCTAGTTGGCCGGCACAAACTTGTTCTGCACATTGCCGGACCGTATGCTGTCACATCACCTCCGATGCTGGAAGCTTGTCTGCGGAAAAAAGTGCACTATCTAGATGTGACGGGAGAGGCAAGGGTTGTTGAAGCGGTGAAGAGTCGCAGCGAGGAGGCAAAATCCAGTGGGTTGACTCTGATGCCTGCTGTTGGCTTCGACGCCGCTGTAGGAGACGCTGTTGCTTCCCATCTTAAGCGTCGCCTGCCGACCGCAACACATCTTGACCTTGGGCTTGTGATCCCACGGTTTTCCACAGTAAAAAGTTTCTCAACAAGGAAGTCTATATCGCGTGGAACATTGAAGTCGGTTCTGTTTAGCGTCCTTCCGGATGGTGGTCTAGCAATGCGAGACGGCAACTTGGTGGAAGAGTCCGTTGCTGCAAGGCATCGGAAATTCGATCTCGATGGCGATGATAAAGGCATGTCCTTCTCGTCATTCCCTGCGTGTGAGATAATAGTTGCAGGGCACTCGACAGGAATACCAAACATTTCTGGTTACATGCCAGGACACATGAAGATGCCACCTGCAGGACTTGTCCGGATGGTCAGGCCATTGTTGACAACCAATGCGTTCCAGAAGGTTGCGGGCTTTGCAGTTGACTTGCTTACTCCACCTGGCCCTGAACCCAAGGATGTTGAGGACGTCCATATGTCTGCTGTCGGCGAAGCACGTGATGAAGCAGGCGGCAAAGTTGCACGGGCTATAGCAACCGTGGGTGCACCCTACCCATTCACAGCAAGCTGCTCACTTGAGGTGGCGAGACGCGTTCTTCAGGGCGATTTCAAGCCAGGGTTCCAGACTACCACATCAGCATATGGGCCGGACTTTCTTGTATCCGTACCCGGGGAAAACGCCGAGGTTAAAGACCTTCCTTGACTATCTTCATGATGCTGGTGCTGGAACGGAGGGCATACTCACGGTACGGTAGGCCCTCAAATCACGGAATTGCAAAACAAGCGGCCAAAGATCAAGTCCTTGTGGAAACCAGGCCCTCAAAATCGCCAAATTGCGAAACAAACGGCCAGATCGAGTCCTCCTGAAAAGGAGGACTCGATCTGGCTGCTCATTTTGCGATTGTGCTGATTTGAGGGCCTAGTGTGAGTATACTTTTGAGATGGTCTTTACTTCTTGATCTTGTAAGTGAGGCCAGGGGAGTTTGGTCAAGGAAAAGGTTGCTGAGCGTCTATCCAGTCTGCAAGCACCTGCATCAATAATCCAAAACCCCAGGTGCACCCAGTGACCCTATTGGGCTCTTAAACTGTCCAACAAAACAGAATACTATATATAACTGTGTATGGCATACCTCTATTTGAGTGGTGAGCTTGTGTGTTAGGATTCACATCCGAACGATCCTGTTCGGCCAGATGTGATTTTGGCATTGTGAAACTAGAGGTGGTCATCTAGATCGGTTAGTAGTGTCAGTTGTTTAACTGTCAACTTGTATCAGTATAACAGCTCTCATTGCCTCTAAAGGCAAAAATCTTAGGTGTAATCAGTGTAATGTAAGTTGTGCTTCTTTATATGGATGGTGTTCATAAAAAGATCGGTTGTTTGCTTATGGCGTAAAGCATGGAAAGCATGAAGGAGGCGGGAGGGAAAGCAAACATTCGCACACACACAGACACATTGGAAGCACAGGTGAAGACCTGTACTGGAAGGATAGCTGGTCCCTGTGGACGAAGACGATGAACCATCTACCCCGCCTATTGGTGCTATGGTACAAATTCGGGTTAAAGAAGTTTGCAATGACATTGGTGAGTGTTTCTGTACTCTCTTCGCTTCTAGCTCCCCCATCAAGGAACTAAGACCGGACCCATCGATGTGGACGTGAAATTGTCTGGAACTCTGGTTATCTGAGTATAGCATCAAAACTGGATATGCACAATTGCAGATGTCTAATCCCCCGCTACTGGTGGCTACTCATTGATGGACACAGGTAACAGGGAAAGAATCTCTAGGGATAGCTGGACTCGTATCCCTGGAGATAACTTGGATGAATTTGCAGGAAATCCCCTCTCAACAACTGGCCGCCCGGCTATGGAAGAGCTTTCTATGATGGTTACCCCATATTAAGTGGTGTGGCTGAGAAGTAAGGGGGTGGAAGTGGATTTGAAATGCAAAAGGTGTAAGTGACCTTTTGAGTCCACAGTACACCTGTTGGTTCTCCCCTGGCCGCTTTCGAAAAGGGTTCTGGTTGTGGTGGAAATCTCACTGGAGCAGCATCTATAGCAACAATTTTGTATGGGAGGAAGACTGGGTGTTGTTCGGGGTGGTCTCAATTCAGTCGCAGGGCAGCAAGGACTGGGGATATGTGGCTTTTGTGATAAGAGCAGTGATTTTTTGGGTGATTTGGGAGGAGAGAAACTTGCTGGTCTTCGAGGGCAAAGTTCTCTCAGACATAGCTATTAAATCGAAAATTGAGAACAATATAGTGCTGGCCATTAAGGAAGACTGGAACACGAAAGTGACCAATTGGTGCAGCAAGCTGACAGGCATACAGTGGTTCCATAGCCAGGAGTTGCTGATGTAAAGCAGGCTAAGTTTGTGGTTTCAAAGTGGTTATTTATCACTTAGTTAAGGCCTGAACACTCGATGCAGAGGCCGCAGAAAACTGCCCTAGCGCTAGCGCCCTGACGCCGGCGGACCGGTAGGACCCCGTTGCCCCGGCTAGGCTAGCGCCCGGGGAGGTAAGCTCCTCGGTGGCCAGGCCTGTGCACGTGCACGACAGGCGCACATGGGTTTGATTGACACGTGGCACCTGTTGTCTGGTGACATGGTGGTCCCGTGACGCGTGTGCCGGGGTAGTGCCAGCTGCGTGATTGACAAGTGTTCTGAAGAATCGCTATGCAATCAGACTCGTTTTCAAACACACTTTTCACACATGTAAACAGTAACGCAGCATACTGGCGATACGTGCCCACTCAAACTCAGAGATATTTCACTCCCAATTGGCTATGGCGACCTCAGCGCCCAAACATCTCACTGTTCACATACACGGGATCACCCTGGATATCCCACACGCATCACTCTAACACTCGAGCACACACACACACTCACTACTAACTACAGCTATGGCAGCTATGGCTGCCTCTAACCTATCGCTATGCTAACTCCTCCTCTCTTGCC